TGAAATGTTCAGCAACACACAAGAGTATCAGTGATGCACTAATGTTGGGTAATGACCTGCTGTCAGTTCACCCCAGATGTGTTCAATAGGGTTTCAAGTCCAGGTTTGTGCAGGCCAGTTTTCCACACCAAATTTTAGTGCACAAATCTGTATTAAGAGTTTGAGTCCCACTTTATATTAGTTGCCTCTGAACACTTGTATGTACACAGTAAGTGCAGAGTATCAAATTATTAATTTAAATGTTAGTATATGTTAAAGAAATTGGGTCCAAAGATTGTATGGTGCATCATTAAGATGCTTGTTCTCATAGAAGTGGCTGGTGTCCATATGTGTTAATTTCAAGGTTAACACATTTATACATTAAGCCATATAGTGCATATAAGGGATGATTATGTCAGTCAAGAACTTTTAAATGCATCTGGGGGGCAGTTTGTCTGCTTTGGGTGAATATCTGGGTGAATATCTGTCATACGTATCATTGCTCTAGATGAGAGCTGTTTAAAGCTCTCTGCACAGAAGCTGGTGGCATAGTGCCGAATGGGCAATATTTGTCATAACTTACTGAGTTATGTCACGGGCGCAAAATCCACTTACATAACATCTAGGGATGCACCGATACTGGTATCGGTATCGGGTCCGATACTGAGCTCCTGTACTCGTACTCGTTAAAATGCCCCGATACCAAACGCCGATACCAAACGCCGATACCACACCGCATGTGATAAGTGCCATATTCAGACAAAGAAATACCGACAACAGACAGCAGAATGGGGTTATTAGAGATTAAAGATGTCTACGAAGTATATGTATGCAATGAATATAAAACATTCAGTATTAATGCCTGTATAGCTGATTTGTGCCAGCTGATGAGCAAAGCACGCTGAGTGGATTGAGCGCGGCTGCGCAGATGTGTGAGCTTGTCTAGTGAATACCCCTTTCTCACAGACATCACTGGAAAGTTTGTAGTTCGGTCGGATATGTCAAAAAGGTGCAAGTAAAACAATGCACAAGTTACTTAATGGTAGGGAGGGAGGGAGAGAGAGAGAGCGCACACTTCTGTTGTGTGATCTTTATTGATGTTCGCTCACTTAGCACGGATCATTTGGATTAAAGCTAAATCGTAAATATAAGACAATTTATAGGGGCATTCACTATAAAC